ACATTTTCTAAATCCAATGTGTATAAAACAGCACTCAGACATGCAATGCCTCTGTAAAACAATATATTTATAAGTCAATTTTTATATTTTATTCGCTATGACAATCAAATACTTTATATTTAAAAATTTCATAATAGTTAACATAAGGAAATAAATTTTATAGTCTTACAAATGAAGCATGTATAAAACTTGCCTGCTATGTTTTATAATCGCTGCTTTGGGTAATCCTGTTGTTCCAGAAGTGTATATATAAAATAGTCGGTCTAAATGGAATAAGAAATTGAACACCTATAGAAACCACTGCTGTTTCAACACTGTTAAAATATCAACTAATCTTGGTCATTTCTAAATTAGTTTTAACGGAAATTTAAAAGTTGGATAAAAGTAGGCAAAGCAAAGAGGTTGCAAATACTTAGATATGTATTTCTGACTATGATGAAAAGTGCATGTACACAACTACATGGAATACAGAAGTGCCAGTACTGCATACCAGCAAGTACCAGCCTATTTCACAAATTTATATCTACAACACAGAACAGATGAAATATTAAAAAAGAAAGACAGAGACAGCAAATACATAGTTTTTCTTCATAAAAACGTTAAACATAATCAGTGATTTTAAATTGTGTTTACCTAATTGTCTGTTGACTTACCACTGAAATTAACTTCGAAATTTATTAATGGTGAAACAGGAAGGCTCTGTGATAACAAGGTTTCCAGTGAATTTACAGAGAAACTTTTTGGATCAAAGTTCCCATAGCAATAATATTTAAATCCATTTTCTTGTAATGTGTTAGTTATATCCTTTACAGCTGGAAAAAAAAAATCCACTTCAATTTAATACAAAGTTGACATGGTCACAAATTTTAAATAGTTTTTTGCATGAACAGCACTGAATACATAATAAAAATTATTTTTATAAAACTCCATTAATTCAGTTCTGGCTTTGTAGGCAAAGTGACAACAGCACATAACTTTGTGCAGCTGCTCTTTAGATGTCTTTGAAAACATAAACCTAAAATGATTAGAATGCACTGAATCATCAGCTAGGTACCCTTGCTATTGAGAAAATTTTCAGCCACTATTCTAATAATTCTTCACAAAAGTTTGCAAGCTCAGGAGATTTAAGCCAATCTATACAAAGTTAATAATGCAAAATAATCTTCACAACTGTAAAAAAAGTAAAATGATAATAATCAAAATTATATATCCATTACTAAATGGTATCTTTCAAAACTACAGGTGTAATCACTGACATAACAGCTAAATAAATTAATTTATGTCATCAGGTTACTCAAATTTCATGTTTACTGGCGTAATACTATAAGATTTAGCAAAACATAACAACTCAGGCAAATAAATCCAAGTGAAAAATCATGTAAACAGTACAGTGGTGAAGTGAAAACACTGTTAAAAGAGAGAAAAAATAATCCCATGGGCAGTAAGTAGCACTATTGAGCAGGCACAAGTGAAAGTGATAATTTTCCTGTACTAAAAATGTATTTCCCATAGGTACTTCCCTCCTTTCACAAGATTAGCTATTCTCGTCCAGTGCTGCCCTCTATATGCAAATATTTTCTTTATGCATGCCACAAGCCTTCTGCTTCCCCTATTGAAATCAAATAATTCCAACAAGTCTCGAGTAAACCATCATGTGTCACTTCTACACCAATAGGAACATGACATATTCACGTGATACATGTGACTCCCTCTATAAGCCTCTACCAAACTATCACTTCAATATCTGACAGAAGACCTAAGCACCAGAACAAAGTGGGGAGGAAGGGTTGGAAGTGTGAGAGGAGGGAAGTACCTATCGGAAAGACATTTTCAGTATAGGAAAATTATAACTTCTGATACAGTACTTCCCTTCACTCACAAGATTAGCTAGATTCACACACTGATTACGAGGCTGGACCAGTGCGAGGGAATGACAGAAGTACCCCTAAAAGCATCCAAAGGATACCCCTGGAAATGAGTCAGATCCAAAGATTTGATGAGAGGAATCATCACTTCTGAACCAGGTATACTCTTCACCCATCCATGAAATGTGTAGTATATAAAGGTGGAAAAAGGGTGATCCTAACCATGTAAATATATACGTAACTTATTCCCACCATGTATAAATGTGGGTAAAACAATGGATGTGCCCCTAGGTCTGGAGTAGCTAGGGTACAACAGACCATACTTGGTAAGTCAACTACATCCAAAATCCATGCCACTGGAAACTGACATCCACATGGAAGTAGGATAGGGAACATACCATCTTCACTTCAAGTTCAAGAGACCAGAGGGAATCTGGAACCATTCCGACTCCTGAGCAGGACACATGTATTAAGATTAATTGATCTATCTGAGTACCAGACATCCAGTATCGAAAGAATGTCTATATAATACAAGTCAACTCCCCCAACAGTGAAACTGACTAGAACCATCCGAAAAGCAATAACATCCTCAGATTAAGATATAACGGGGGATAGCAAAAAGGACAAAACCGGAACAAACCCCCTTTGTCTCTACTGTGACCCACAACACAGAAGGAGTATGACAAAGGGAGAAAAATAGACACCCTAAATATGTGTAAGAACTTATGTTGATTGGTTCTACTCAAAATTCAAAACCCAGCCATGGGGTTTTAACATCCATGTGTGTGTGTGTGTGGGGGGGGGCTCCCAATCGAAGGGGTGAATTGCACTTTGACAACTCACTCCTTTGTGAATGTTCAATGCATAATGGAGGATATCACATCATCTACACCAACAGAATACCACTGCCTTACTCTGCACTGAATGGTTATAGCCAACTTTGTGTGGAACCCATTCAGGAGAATGCCTCCACAGTCAACCACCACAGAGGCTTGGAACTGGAAAGTGGTAAGGACTCCCATACTCTACTAGAAGAATGGGGGGTAAGAATGCGTGGGGAGAGTCTGGAGGAATGTCATCACCTGAGACAGTGCAATGGGTGACCATGAATCCTTCTGAGAAAACTCGAAGAACCCAAAGATTCATGATGAAAGGATGCCAGTGAAAAAGAAAACAGGCAAGCTGAGCTTCCAGACTAGAACCCACCATATAGTCACCGATACTGTTGGTAACGTGACGTGCTTTGTCACATGAACGACAAGATGAGGCACCTTGAGAAGAAGGGCCAGGTAAAAGTTGGGAAGAGGAGGAAGGGGAAACGGTAACTGGTGCCATATGGGGGTACCGACGTTGACAAACGAGCAACAAAGTTAGAAAGGGTATAATTTTGTTGTACTGATGCAACACGTGATTCCAAAAACTCGGGGATCGTGTTAAAGATGTATCACTGCAAAAATGGGGCCATACATAAATAAATCCCTAAGATGATGGTAAACAGACGTGAGGTAAGGTCACAGCACGACCTAAAAGATCCCAATAACAGAGAAACCACGTATGTAAAGCTGGAAGTGAAAACAACAAATAAGCCAACGTGGAAGAAGAAGAAGTCCCCAGAAAGTACCTCAGAATTTCGGTGGGGAGACTCAGAGAAGAGATGGTATGTAAAGAGGTACCATAAAGAGGTGTGAGGGTAAGACAAAGGCGAGAAATTGGGCATGGGTAAGACATACAGGAGATTTGGGGGCTGCACCCCAAATAGGCAAAACGGACTTAACAATTACTGGTCCAGAAAAAGGTTAGTCTTCATGAGGATATGCAAGAACAAACTGGTATGAAGCCCATGGGGTGAGTCATACCAATCCCGCACAGAATTGTGAGGCATTGAGTTAGCATTAACCCGAATATCCAGGGAGGGGGAGAAACCAAATAGGGATGGGAAGATTGGTCAGGTAGCATGGAAGGATGCAGGTCATAGGAAATAGGGGAAAGAGATAAAACGTCACATACCTGAGAAAGTAAATCTAAAAAGACCATATTAGACCTAACTGACTTCTTAGGCAGGGCATGGGATGGCACGGCAAATCAGGAAGTGTAAATGGGCGATCCAAGTCCTTGTCCACATGAACAGGCTCAGCTTGTTGTGGAGGAAGTGGGGCGAGGTCTGGAGACAGAGGTTGACCCATATGACGTTCAATCTCCTGATGAATAAATGCGGATAAATCCACCGTCGAGCTGCCTGCACCTGAGGCATAACACTAATTGCAGGTGTAATCCTCGAAGTGGTAACATAAACTTCGGGATTCATAATGAGGAAGAGTGAACCAATAATCAAAAGAATAAATAATAATGCAATTGTAATAAACTGAGATTAAAGTTTAAGTTAAGAAATAGTCTTAATAAAAACTAGAACTGGAAATAAATGAAGATCACTTCCTGAGTATACTAAAAACGAACGTGAAACGTTAAACAAACAAAAAGGAACATTTCCGAGAACGAGCGCTGCCAAACGTGAAGTGGTAATTCGGTAGAGGCGCGTATTGAGGTAGTCACCTGCATCACGTGAGTATGTCACGCTCCTATTAGTGGAGAAGTGACACATGATGATTTACATAAGAGACATATTGGTATCATTCGATTCCAACAGGTGGGAGCAAAAGACTTGTGGCATGCGTAAAGAAAAAAATTGGATATAGAGGGCAGCCCATAACGAGAATAGCTAATCCTGTGAGAGGAGGAAAGTACAGTATCAGAATGTAAACTTTCTTTTGTTTGTCATCATGAAAACTTACTCCATGAGGAAGTAAATGTTTTCCACATAATGTTAATAACTAAGTAACGTTATCCACAAAACCTGCCACACATTTATTAATTAATAAGTGTTTTACAAGGCACGAGTTAAAAATTCAAAACACGTGATTGATGTCAAGGAGAAAAAAAGCCATGTTTATGTAGTGACGTTAAATCACACATTAACAGCAATAGATAATTATACTTTAAAACCGTGTGTAACACACTTAGCACAACATTTTATGAATAAACAACAAGCTATCTTTAGTTAAATGGCTCATGGTCAGATCAAGAACAGATGCAATTTAGGGCAGTAATAACTTTTAGGCATTTCTTTCCTCGGCAACTTTAAGTAATACATTCCAAAATAACATCTCAAACTCATCTGAAAATGCTGAATTAAAAAGCAAGAATAATTGGGAGTGTTCATTTGCAATATATTCTTGTCAGACTATTTGAAAAATTATGAATTCCTTCAGACCAATTTAATTAGTTATACCATGTACATGTAGGTTAAAGCAGTGTGCAAGCCCACTAAGTAAGTTTAAGATCTAAACCTTCATTCTGTTCTGAAATTCTAAGTTCTTATTTAGTTATATATCTAATATTACAAGTTTAAAATCGCCAAAAATGTGCCCAAAATCAAGTAAGTTTTTTTCCTGGACTTTTGATTAACAGTTCATTCCAAGTTAAACTTTCTTAAGATATTTTCCACAAGAATGTGCTTAAATCCTAAGAATTAATCATAAACTTTACTTAACTCACTTTAATAGATATTCATATGGTATACCTAACTAGCAAGAATTCAGTAAAGATATTTATTAATGCCTATATATTTTAATTAAAAACATTCTGTAAAACTTACCATCAAGAAGCTCACTTCCAAATATGATGGCTTTTGATTTTACCACAGTGATAGAGTGTGCCAAGGCTTGTAATCGCTGATTTGTGTTGATCAGAGCTGTCACAATTCCAATCTTAGATAGACCTAACCAGAAAGCCACAAATTCAGGCTTGTTCTCCATAAATAGAGCAACTTCATCACCAGGTAAAAAACCCTGCTGTATGAAGCAGTTGGCTACTCTGTTGGATAAATCTTCAACCTACAATATATATGTACAATCATAAGCAAATTTAATATTTATTTATTTATTTCCAATAAATATAGACCTATTCAAAAGTAAACCTTTCACCGCAAGATTTTAAGTAGATAACCTTGCCATGTATCTGTATAAATATAATAGTGCTGTCTCTTGTATGTCCATGTAACTACTTCGCAGGGTGTGGACGAATCTTCACCAAAATCGGTATGAAGGTTCATTGGGTCCATGCAAGGGTACATACATATTTTCAGTTTTGCATTTTGTGGTTTTCTTATGGGCGTTTTTTACCACTACTTCGCCCATAGCAACCCATAGCAACTGCATTTTATGTACGAAGCACATTTAGGATGCTTGCATTTACAAGTTAACTTCTCCATAAGTAATACTTTAAATCGAGACTTTAGTGCCTTTATCTGGGCAATGGGGGTCCGTCAAAAGTGTAAACAGTGTGCCAAATGTATTTTTTTACCAATAAAAATGCTCAAGTTTTCATAACAATACAACAAATGCCGCAAAGGGGCATTTTTTCATCACCAAAACAAAATGAATAAAATTATAGCTATAATTCTAGTAACCCTTAAACCTCACACTATAGCTTTTAACAAATGCATTTTTAATTTTACTAGTTCACAATACTATATTCATTTCAAAAATTACAATAGAAATTTAATAAATTGTAAAGCCTTCACTTTCAAAAGTGTTTTTTTTTTTTTAATAGAATACAACTACTTTGATTGATACTTCAAGTCAAACAGCATTATTGAAACAAATTTCTAAAATAAAATGAAAGAAAAGAGCGTTTGGCGCTTTTTTTTTCAAGGGATGGGGAAATTTATAGATCGTTACGCCACTCCCATAAATTGCGACTAGATTAATGCGTAATTTTATGTAAATCCAACTAAAATAAAACAATTTAGATGATATGTTGACAACTGTCAGCAGTTCAATCAAACTTAAGTCTTTAAATTACGATACGTCAATTAAAAACGGACTTCGATAGGGTTACAATGTCATGCTAAAAATCTGTTGTTGATGCCTGCAGTGGGCAAAGTACAGATATCCCATTGTGTAACTTTACGTTTAACAACAAATAAACAAACAAAGCCTACAAAATGATGAATGCTATGAATTTGTGTTCAACAATGAAACGAGAAGGTATTTCAAACAACGAAAAGAGAAAGGCTTAAACTTAATAGGAATATTAATTGTTAAAATATTGTTCCATAAAAGAACAATAACAAAAAAAACAAAAAAAAACATTATTCTAACTACTGTTGAGATATGACTTCAAAAATTAATCACGGAAACCACAGATCTCTTGCACACTAAACCAAACAGGATTGGTTGGTATATAATCAATCTTATCTTAAATTATGTTACTATGGCAAACCAAAGGCGACATACATTTTCACAATTGTAGTTTTATTATAGGTTGTTGTTGTTTCTTATTAAGCACAAAGCTATACAAAGGACTATCAGTACTCTGCCCGACACGGGTATCGAAACCTGGTTTTTAACAGTACAAGTCCGCAGACTGTCCCACTGGGGAGCAGCATTATAGGGGCTATTTTTAGTGTTGAAGCATTCAAGTATTATTAGTTTTATTTGCAACCAAAATCAGAAATATCTAAATATCATTTCAGACATAAGAATTATATATGTAGGTAAGAAAAAGATGCGCTTAAAACAGAGTGCCAAATAAACATTCATTGATACAGTGATTATATTTATATTAAAAGGTTTGCATGTCATATTCATTGTTTCTTTACCCCTGAAGAAGTCAGGTCCGCCTATCGCAAGTGTTTTTAATTAAAAAGAGATTTAAATAGCTGTACACTAAAATTTTACACCTTCATATAGAAACAATATATAATACTTACATCTTGAAACGTCCATACTTGGTTCTCGTAAAGAAAACAAGGCTTATAAGGATGTTTTCGAACGTTAACTTGGAACAAACTTGGTACCGTAAGATTATTTCGTTCGCATTTCGCTAAAAATCTCTTACATCGAATATAGCGGTATAAAGCCCTGGGAAAAATAAAATAATAACAATAAAGTTGAGTAATTATGACGTTATAATCTAAAGAATTATGTATTGGACATTCACTCAGATTAGTTATGAAGTTTTTGATAACTCGCATCCTTACTATGCTTACTAACTACTTTAAAAGAATTCCAATGAAAATAATGGGTTGGATCACCTTTAACAACGATAAAATCTTGGACTAGGAACGGAAAGTGTCTTATTTGAATGCAATGTTCACGTTCATCCTTAGGATACTCAATGGGAGTGAGATCCAGTTACTCTACTGACCAAACAAAAGGAACTGAAGTAACTGTCGTACTCTTTAATCTAATTTCAAGCAACATGAGCGCAATGCATTATTGGATTATCGTCTTAGAAGATCCTTAGTTCATCCGTATGGAAATGAAGCAATGTGAGGCGTAAATGAACCGTAACAAGGTTCAGTTACACTCTGGATGTTATTTTATTCAAATGGAAACTACATATCCAGTTCCTGACACAAGAATTTTTTCCCACATCATTACAACACCTCCAGTAGCTTGCACTACCAGAACCACGAAAGCAAGATAAAGTGTATAAGAACAAAACAGTGTATAATGCAACTTACTACACCACATTTCAAGTCATTCACTGTTATAGTTCACACAAGTACCACTGAAGCTACAACTTCTAATTTGCTTCAGAGAAAAGAGATTTCCGGATTAGTTATCAGCTATCATATGACGATTCTGTAGTATTCTTTGTATGATACAGTTAGAGATAAACAAATCCTGACCACTGTCGAAAAAATTGAACAACTGCCGAGAGTTCAGTATGGCATTATTGTGCTTTAAAAGCCTGACCAATAGTGGTTCCTCTTGGTTTGTGGCAAGCGGTTAGTGGTAAGTTTTTCCTAGTGGCAGTTTAATTCCCTACCGATTATCACTATTGATAGATTCTGATGACAGATATTTTTGAGTAGCTAATCTCTATATTATAGCACTCAAAGACCATGATATGATCAATTTACTTGGCCTACGGAAATACATGGGAGGTCTAATCGGCCAGTTTAAGATATAAAACTTCAATTACAACAAACTAACAGGTTTAAAAGTTCATAAATCTAGCCGAAAAACTTGACGTTTTAAGTTCCATTTCCACTTATGGGCATTTAAATAGGTTACATACATGTATTTAAAAACAATCTTGGTTCTAACTAGGTCATGTAAAACTCACTCGGGAATCTTTGTATGTAGGTAGTCTTTGTAAAGATATGTAAAAAGACTCTTAATTTTAATCTTTGAGTTCAAGACTAAACCTACGCCATAAATTAATAGCTTTTACAGAGGCTCTTAATCTTATTTTCTACCTACTCTTACAAGTTAATTACTTACTACCTACTTTAAATTTTGACTCATTCTGACTCTTGATGAACTCTAGTTAATTCTGAAATACACAAAGCACACACACATATATCGTAATTTACTCCTTTCTTGAATGTTATGTACACACTACAAAAGACTAGCGTTATATTCGTGCTAATAAATTATAACTTAATTTTTACATCAAACAAAATATTATATTAACAATATGTCCCCCCGTGGAACAGCAGTAACTCTACGGATTTACAACGCTAAAATCGAAGGTTCGATTCCCCGTGGAGTCAAAGCAGATAGCCCACTATGACTTTGCTCTGAAGCAACGAACATAAATATTAAGTTCACTGTAAGAGTATTAACTTTAATTGTGGCCTAAACTATAGGCGAGGATAAAGTTTTGTTAATAACTTCAGCAAAATTGATACCAAAATTACCACACATCATGAGGCTTAATTTTGAATTTAGAGTTAGGATTTGTCTGAAAATCCCTTAACCCTGCTTTAGTCTTCTAATAGTTGCTCTTTCGAGAAAGTAATTAAAAAATATTTAAATAATAATAAATAATAACAACCTATTATTTTTGAAACAAAAAACATTAACAATCAGAACCTTTTCCCTTATTAATCAATAAATGAGCAGTGAATATCACAACTTGTTTCTTTTTTACCACATAAACTAAGTGTAACAATTTAACACAAACTAGCCGAATACTGGTTACTAAGAACAACAAGCATGTATGTGCTTCCATCTGTCGGCGCCGATGTTTACAAAATATTTTGGGTCCATGAAGGCCCCGGAACACTAAGGCAGGCTTAAGAAGAATTCGATGTTTCAGGTGGTCATTGAAATACTCTTTGTACAAAGATTTGTGTATTATGACTAATTTCTTTTTAGTGTTTATTAAGAGTAACATAAAATAACCAAGTAATAGAATATTTTACACGTCTTCGAGTGATATATACAGTTATCTTCTATCGTTCACATTTCAAAATGTGACGTAACGTAAAAAATAAAAATGTTGAGTTACCGTATATTGTTGGTGAGCGGCTCTTAGCATGCCTTAAATGCTCAACAATTACTTTTCGCGGTGGGCGGTATAAGTAGCTCAGAGCTCTGGCTCTGTTTGTTTGCAATTAGCACATAGCTACACAAAGGGCTATCTGTGCTCTTCCCACCACGGGTATCGAAACCCGGTTTCTAGTGTTGTAACTCCGCAGACATACCACTGTGCCATTGGGGGTTCTTTGGTTCTGAGTGAAACCAAGAGTACAACACAATTAATCTTTTTATTTAAAGTCCAAGAAATAATTTAAATTGATGGATTAACTAAAACTTTTCCTGTTATTTTTAAGGTTAAAGGTAATATTTGTTAATCCTGAGAAGAATTATATAATTCAATCAAGAACATTCATAAATACACTTTCTTCAAAGCATCAAGAAATAGGTGGACTATAACGAAAATACAAAGAAATGATAGGATGAAAACGAGAGAAAAACTGAAATAATAAGACAAAATTAACGGCATCACAATATAGAAACACGACGCATTTATACGAGTTTAACCCTAAGTGACTATGAATAATATGATTATATTACTGGATGCAATACACATGCAATACATTTTAAGAACAATAAATAAGAATTTTAAAATAAAAGAAATTATTATGATTTATTTACTAAGAAGGAAATGAAGTCTATAACTGTTTTATTTAACCTTATTTGTGTTTATATTTCAATAAATATGTCTCGGTTTAAGTTAAATCCGCAAGACCACAATAAACAGGTGAAAGTATAGTGTTTCGACTTTCCACAGACAATCATATTGTTAAGACAGCGGAAGTCACGTGACTCTGGTAGTGTGCGTGAAGTTTCTCGAATTATCGGGGAATCCCGAATTTGTTCGAGATGACCTCTTCTTTAGTGTATAAACCTGGCAGCAAAAGCCAGCAAGGTAATATAAAGTGTGTGTGTTGTACTCGTCGAGAACGAAGTTATCGAGATTGTGAATCGCTATGATTTATAGCGTGTATTATAAAAGTTGTTAAGTTTAAAGTGACGAGAAAAGTACTGACTGTGGAATTACTGTGTACTAAAAGTTTGTATCGAGGAAGACAAAAATGGTTTAATAAAGAAAGGACTTGTATTGCTGAAGATCCTCGGAAAGAATGTCTACCGGAAATAAACAAACAAGCAGCTACGTAACAATATGTTTAATTTCCCACATTTCTACTTTGTACAGGCTCAACGACAAGTCTGAGGACTTATAACCCTAAACATCTAGTTCTGATACCCACGGTGGGCAAAGCACAGATAGCCTATTGTGTAGCTTTGAGCTTAACAACAAACAAACAAAGTTGTTTCTGAATTTATTTATTTTATTATAATTTTTAGATTACTGCTAGATATATAGGTGTGTAATAACAATATTTCAAGGTAATTTAAGACATGTAAATTATTGAACAAGTTAATTATATAACTGGTTGTTTTTAAACTACACTATTTAAATACTTTATTTTCATTACGTATTTTACGTAGCTTAATGAAAATTTTCCAGCTTAGTGTTTGTTTGTTTTTAAGAAAAGAACGAACTCGACCTAATTCGAATCGCTGACTTTATAGGACGGAAATCCAATAAACCTTACACACAACAGAAAGTAGGTAGATGGCCTTTATCTGTATTTCTTTCTTTCTTTTATCTAACAGACGTAAATGTCATTGCCACATCAGGCTACACTACGTCAAATGACGAAATAGGTCATTCAACGGCAGTCGTGCATCTGTAAAAACTGAAGTGGTTCTACTTAGAGTGCTCCAATGTCTCAGCGGTAAATATGTAGACTTATAACGCTAAAAACTGGGTTTCGATACCCGTGGTGGATACATCACAGAGAACCAATTGTGTACCTTTGTGCTCGATAACTAACAAACCACTTAAAGCGAATATACACATAAAACAGTCAATCTTTCAAATTTAACCAGCCTATAATATGTATTTCCTCGCTAATTAAAAAACAACAACTTAAGTCTACCAACAGACATTAGATGTGAAAAGCTTGTTTAACTGATGATATTTTATGTACTGGATTTGAGCATGGTCGTGTAGGCAGTGGGTGCTACTAACTGGTTGTTCTCTCTCTTTTCCTCTACCTGAAACTTGAAAATACCAAACTTTAATGTACTGGTACAAAAGGAATACTGAATTAACAAATGTTAGATTTTCTTTGAGCCTATCCACGTGTGACAGGAAACACCAACGTTTATAGATTTTAAAGACCAGTGAGACAGTATTATCTATAAAGGTTAAACTTTGTATCTTACTCATAATAATACTGCCCCCCCAGTGTCACAGCGGTATGTCTGCGGACTTACAACGCTAGAATCCGGGTTTCGATACCCGTGGTGGGCAGAGCACAGATAGCCCATTGTGTAGCTTTGTGCTTAATTTCAAACAAACAAACATAATAAAATTAAAACATTAGTCACTGGGAATGCGATACTTGGAGTCACGGGTAGATCTCTAACGATACTAACTATTAAGTATATGTGAAAGACCCCTTAAATAATAAAGAATTTTCATTTGGCTGCTGATCTTTTGACCCAAATTTAGCTAACCCTCCCTTAAAATCGCTCTTTCAATAGAGTGT